ACATTTCACCAAGGTGCGGACTGACACAGTTAAGGCGATGGGAGAATCTGCACAGCCCCACAAGTGCCTAGCAGCACGCCTTTTTGATTTAATCGCCCAGCAGTATATGCCCCTTTGTGAACAACTGCATGAGCAACTGGTCTCATCGGATAATTTCAAGGAATTTTCCGGATTTCATCATCTACGGTTCAGAATGCCCGTGATAATCGATCCCTCGGGCGGCACGGTCTTAAAATCAGCATCATTGCTTCAAGGATATTGCCGCACAGGCTCAGGGATGCTTCAGAAAGCCATTGTTGGTAAACACAGTTCGTGGCTACATCTGCTAACGCGAGATATAACATGACCATGCAAAGAGAAAACCATATAGTAACAGCACGGTTTCTCTAGGCCCAAGATCAAAAGATGGACTGGCGCAAAAGGAACGAAGGAAATTTCTTCTCATGTACACTGCACAAAAATTGTTCACACTATGCAATGATAATATTTTGCTCATGAAAAGTGTAGTTAACGATGCTTTAGAAACAAAAAGACTGAACAGTGCATTCAAACAGTTGTATCTCTTAGGAGTCACTGATTATGTCGGTGCAATATCCAAGTCTTTGCTGTATTTATGTTAAATCCCGAGAATGCTTACACTGTGTTTTTAAATGTATGCTACGTGTGCTGAGGTTTTTTTTTTTTCTTCGGCTCAAACTATCCTCCCAATGAGGATAATGGTTGGAATGAATTGTTTTTTTCCTTCCTCTGCCCGACCGTTTAACTTTCACATGTAAGATATCGAGGCGCTTAACAGCGACCCGCCAGGCTTCTCGTTCTGTCTCCCCCATGTTGGTTATTGCTGCCCTGTCTATGATCCTCTGAACGCGTTGTAACTGGGAAGCAAATTCCTTGTGTGCTTCTTGCATACTTGGCCAATAAATCTGATTTGGATTCTGAAGAGTCTTTAGAGTTTATAAATATGCATTGTATGTAACCTGATGCTGCAGTAGCGCCTCCCTAAGCCTGGTATTGCAAACAGAGAATTTTAAACGTGCAGTTTCCAAATTCGTGACAACACTCTCCACTTCACTTGAAATTGCTCAAGACCTTGTTCCTTGAGCTTCCTTTGAAAGTAGAGGCTAGCGTGGGCCTTCTTGGCGAGTTGTATTGTGTTCTGTGACCAGGTCAGATCCTTACCGATGTGGATGCCAAAGAATTTGAATGTAGTGAGTCTCTGTCCCTTCAATATAGATGAGTGTGGGCTGCACAGCATTCTTCCTCTGGTCAATAATCATCTCCTTGGTCTTATTTGTGTTCAAGTGTAGAAAAGTTCACATGAGCATTAAGACAATCCTACATGCATATTCTATTACGAAGGAATATTACATAGCGTGTAATGTATAGTACAGTCATTCAAAAAAAAAAAACCTACCAAGTAAAGCACATTTCTTAAAACGCAACTCATAGGAATCTTTTCCCAAAGGCCCAGTTCAAAGAGAAAGTGGCGTATTCTAAAATTTAATGATATCCAATTACTTTGACATGAACCCCCACTTTTTAATCAAAAAAAACAGCCAGCGGCAGCCTTATTCACTGAGTTTTTAAGATCTAATTAGGTGGTGCTCTTTGCTGTCCCACACTAAGTTCTTCATTGAAAAACCTGCTTAAATTAACACTTCAGTAATTGTGTGGAAAATACTTTGCTTCGGATCTTCCTGTTTAAATAAAAGAAAGGCGGATGCTTTGGCACAATTTTGACACTTAATTTTTTAGACCTATGAGTTGGGCCCATTTGAATGTTCCAAGTCACTTGCCGTGAATCTCATTATACGCTACTCATCTCACTAGTTCCCACTGTTAGAAGCCATAAAATGTTTATTAATTGAATATATCTTCCAACCTTGAAATAAGCTTTTGTTGTTTTGGAATCCAGAGGTTGGAAGAAGGGAGGCAGCCAGAGTTTCGGTGATGACTCATCTCCCTATTCCCTCTTTTGAAATGGTACATTTCTTAATTAGGCTGGTTTGGAAGTACGCCGCCAGGACACAGGGCCATTAAGTCAAATCGCTTCTGTCATTTAGAGACCTACTAAAGAAAAAAAAACAACTTTCAACCATCACCTCGATGAAGAATATTTATTGTTGGCGTCCAGAGTACCGGGCTGAAAAAGACTTACCGGAGGTGGGCTGGGGGGGTTGGATGACAAAAATGAGGTCAAGTGCTAGGTGTCTTCAGTGTATCTCTCTCCATTCACAACGGTACAAAAGCCTCACTGAAGGCTCAACACTTAATAAGTTAATGCAGCACAACTGGGACAGTCGGTGACGGCAATTAGCAGTAATTACTTGTCCACCAGCACCACTCCAGGACTATGAATGAAAAGGCTGAGCGATGAAACAAGATCAGTTGTTAGTTTAAGCCTTTCAGGAGATTTATCAAAAAGACGGTGACTCCGAAGTATAGAACCAAGGCCCCGAGGGTTTTGTCTTCCCATGGAAATATAATTGAGAATGGACGGTATGCTTATTACGGATAGATCACATTATAAATAAATAAAGAAAGAAATTTTGTCTATGAACTGTGTATATGAATGAATAAAGATGGTTGTCTTACATTTCCGTGTGGGGAAAATGGCGTACTTTTTTGTACTTTCGAGACCAAATGTCTTTTTGTTCATGTTGGTTCAGTTCGGATCGCTTCATTAAAATGAAAAAACTCCTGTGCGGTCTTCTCTGATTTCCCATGAGCATAGTCAGAATAAGAGGGGGAAAAAAATGATTTAGCGAGGCATGACAATTTTACATGGCTTTTCATGCGATACATTGGAACCTCAAAGAGTGAAGAAATCCGATGAGGTTATGCAATGGGTATTTTTTTTCTTTTACAATTTTGGAATTTATATCAAATACTAACAAATGATAAACTTGTTGATAAAATACACATTTTTTTTCCTATTCTTTGGATTTTTATTTCAGGGTCATCAGCAGCTGAGGTTACTCTTTGGAGCTGCTCTAACTAACGTCATTGGGAAGGGAAAGATATTTTAACGAGTTGGCTCCAAGGACTACTGTTGTTCTAAAACTAGGCAAAGTATTCACTCGAGAATTTGTATCAAGCCGAAGCACAGTCTTATAAACTTGAACAAGACTGGATTATACAACTACATGAGGTGTTTTTTTTTTTCCCCCCCATCACCATCACGTTTTTAATGAACAGCCTCAACTGGGGCATCTGCGACAAAAAAGACAATCAATTTGTTTCACCATGATGTTGGAAAAACGTGTGCAATGCCAAATCATAACTTAATCATGCTAAAAATGACTCCATAAATAATGCCTCACCAACGAACAAAGCACACAACGAGCCATACTGTGTTATGTGGAGGCTTCTATTTGAAAGTTTATACCGAATGATGAGGCAGTCTGTTTTGAGTCAAGGGATGTGTTGTAAACAAACATGGGACTGTGCTTACATATGCATTTGGACTTTTTTTTTCTTTGCAGCAGTCTGTTGAATTTAAGCACAACAGTAATTTTTTTTTTTTTTTTGGATGTCGAAAAAAATAAATGCTCTCCGGTGCCCTTGAGAAACAGAACCCATTTGCATTAGTTTCTCTGCACTGGGAACTGCAAATGGAAGGTTACATGGATACAGTCTGGGGGATAAGGGCAAAATGGCAAAGAGCTCAAATCAGCGCCTTTGACTACATAAGACTTAAGTCTCCCTCAGGGGCCTTCTTAGATGCCATGAAGGGCTTAAATGAGAGGTGGAGGAGGAGAAGCAGGAGGAGAATGAGGATGGAAGTGTGGGTTGCGCTGCGCAGATACTGACTCAGCAACAGCTTGCTTCTCTCTGATGTGGATCCAAGCATTAGATAGTTGCAGACCTAACTCGAATGTTTCCAAGTGTGGCGTTGCGGCAGCGTGAGGATTCTCAGCTATTGATTTTATTGTCCGTGCCCAGTCAAAGTATTGCTTTCCCGTGCACTTGTTTAGCAAGTGGTGGTGCCCTCAAGATTGAGGACTGCCCCTTTCCAATATGAGAAATCTGTTGTCACTTTGTGATGTCAATGTGATCATTGCTTTGCGTTATTTACAGAGGTGGGCATTCCACTCGTTACTCTGTGCGTACATAAAATATATGTTCCATCCGCCTGTACTGATGAGTTGCACTGGAAAACTGGAAGAGCCAGTTCTCATCAAACACTTCAATGGATGACAGCTTCCTCATATAATGCCCTGATGTTTGTCGGAAGTCACTAACTTTGTCGTCTCTTGGCTCTCTGACCCCACACCCCTTTTTCTCATTTGGTACTTCATTTTTATTTTTTACACTTGTTCCGGCAATTTCTGTCAAGGTTTCCTTCCAAGGTCTCGTGTAACCTCCTCATGTCTGACAAAGCCAGAAAGAGGCATGTGAAAAAAGACAGAAGTTCAGATGCAGGAAAGATATTTGAAAACACTCCTGAGCAGGTATAGATACACACTCTGAAAGAAAAACAAGCATTCTAAATAACAAAATGGAAGCAACATTAGCTCACAGCCGGGCTTGTTATCTGGCTTTGGACTTGATGACATGAGGCTTGTGGTCTTTTGCACTCTTCAAAAAAATATATTGCGTAGAAATTGGGACATTACTTCATTTAATTACCGTAGATCTTTTGTCACACGACTAAATACAGTATCACTGTTGTCAGAGGCATGAGACAGAAGAAGATTTCTTCCTAATATGAGCAAAATAAAATGATCATACCATGCTGTACATCTCTAGTGTACAGCATAAGGGAGGGAAAATAATGGTGATTGCATTAAAATGAATAGATAATTGCTCCCATTTTCGTGGCCTACTTAGTAAGAAAATTATGAGGACAGTGGATTGCTATTGGAGGAACATGAATAGATTTTAACGGGTTTGTGCGAATTCAAAATCAATGACAAAAGATAAGGCATATACTGCAGTGTTGCAGGAGGGTGACCATTCTATTATCGAGCTTGGCTTAAGTACAGCAAAGTACTTACTTTAAATCCTGGAATGGCTCAGCCCTCACGTGTGATGTCTGTACGGAATGGCTGAACACAACTCCTTCTGACCCTGTGAAACATGACAGTAGACAAACTGACTTTGTAAGTTAAACTAGAAGACAAATTGGAACGTCTACATTTGGTCTATTTATGTGCCGCTGATAAAAGAGAACACAGACAGAGTTCCAACTTGAAGGATGAGGGCACCTGTCACTCGAAGTTTCTCGGTGCCGATGCTGATCTCCTCTTCATCTGCGGAGAAGAGAACTCTCTCTCCATCGACACTCTTCACCTCAAACCTCTGACACTGAACCTCCACCATTTCTGAGCCTAAGAAAGCAGAAAAGAAAATGGATTTGGAGCACAGGAACATTCAAAGCATACATAATGCACCACGCGGATGATTCCATGTAGAGCTTGAATGATCCTTGAAGAATGTGAACACTGAACCACAATGCACTGAAAATTGTCCACTTGGCCATAAACATGCTCATAACCTCTGCGCTCTTGTTGAGTGGTCTTCTGCGTGGTTATCACCTGTCGCCGTAAATCCCTATTTTGCTCTTCTCTGTGAAATGCACGTCTCTTTTGATTTTTGGGCATAAGCTCATGGGTTGAATTCTCAGTGAGCCTCTTCCCCATTGTAAAGGAACTTTCAAAATAAGGACGTTTAATTATTTGACACATTTTGCTAGCTTGTGGATTCAGTAGTAGTGCAACGCGACTGAGGCAACTTGGCATGCGTAGATGCATCCGCTTCCCCAACGACGTAACTGTCTGATTTATTTGATTAAAAAACAATCCCATGCGGAAATTTCTCTACCTGTGCCTGTGTGGGTTTTCTCCGGTTTCCTCCCATATTCCAAAAAACATGCGCGATAGGTTAAATTGTCCTTTGGTGTGACTGTGAATGTTTGCCCATGTGTGCCCTGCTATTGGCTGCCAACCAGTTCAGGGCATTTGAAAACTTGAGTCATCCTACCCTGAAGTGTGCCACTGCTCCGAATGTATGCCAAGGTTTGGCGGAACATTGAGAGACACATACTCCGCCTCCTGTCCATAAGACAGCTGGGATGGGCTCCAGCACGCCGGCAACCCTCGTGCGGATAAGCGGCTCGGATAGTGGATGGATGGAGAATCACATGCTAGGTAAGGATGGCTGCATTTCCTTGAACACCTGGAAAATGCGTTTCATGTGTTGGTGTTTGTTTTGGCAGATGTGGATGCGTATACATTATGTCACCAATCTGTTTTTCAATGACGACAAGCTCACCATCTACTGCTTGGCGTCCAGGTTATTAAGAGTGTCCCCTCAGTGCCAATCACCCTTTATTAGCCAACATCCAAGTCCCCTTGCTGACCTTTTTCGAGTAACTTTGAGAAAGTAAGCAAGCAAGAATTTGTGCTGTGAAAACTTGAGTCGTCCTTCCCTGAAGTGTGCCACTGCTCCTAATGTATGCCAAGGTTTGGCGGAACATTGAGAGACATCATGACAAGGGAATGAAAGCAAGGGCAATAAAGGACTTTTAAGTTTGAGGGAGAAAGAGAGGCTGCTTTAAATTGGAGATGTGCTGTCTCAGACATCCAGTGAATAGCGTTTCACTGCTGAGCGCCGTCACATCATATAGCTTTCCTTGCATTGGAGCAGGTCAGCACATTTTGAAGGATGTGCTTCATTCACATCACTTATTTCTTCAGGATGGATTTGAAAAAAATAAATAAAAAAAATAAGAAAAGATGGAGATCCATCATGGTGGAAAAAAGGATAAATATAGTTCATTTGGAAATCTGGAGTGAAAACTGCAAACACCACGCAGTGGGGGCATGTTCTCTTCAGCCTGAGCACCAATGTCTTTTTGTGGCCTCCAATTTTCTCAAATTTAAAATGAAAAAAAAAAAAAGAGGAAATAGAAATAATGTGTTTCATCATCATCAATCATCTGGAGTTATCCAATTCAGAGCGAATCAAATGTGATTGGTGATTTTTTTTCTTTCAACTTTCCCGCTGACAACACATTGCAGCTACACTAATAGAATTGAAAGAATTGTGCAATTTAAATTTATGATGCCGAACATATGAATAATTCTGTTGACCAATTTCTATTTTGTAATTAAATAAGAAGAAGAGGGCATTAAAATGGTGGCAAGTAACTTTTCTTTTACTACTGTGCATTAAAGCATTAAGGCCATAATAAAGTTATATGGCTTGGCTATGCTGGATTTTTTTTTTTTTAATTCAAGGCTTTAAATTAGTGTTTGGAGCTATAAAGGCATATTATGCAAAAAAAAGTTCAGAAGGCTTGAGCATTCATAAAAACACATAAATGTTTGAAGTGTGAATCATGCAAATAAACACAAGTTATCCTGCCAAACAGAAAATTAAGAACTCTCATTAAAATCGTCTTTCCTGTGGTGTAGCATTGTGTGATCCTCCACCAGTTACCTTGATCACTGCTTCTGTCATTCTGTGCCACTCAAATAAACCTGCTTTTAGCCGAGTGCTTCTCAATTATTTTCTATTACGCCCCACTAGGAGGAAGAAAACATTTTGCGCCTCCTCTAAGTCTCCGTCAAGACTAATAATTGTATTATATCATCTGTAAATTTGTAATAATTAGACATAAAATTGTATCCTTATTTACATGAATAAAAACAAAAATCAATCAGTCAAGATCAACTAAAAACAAAGAATGGCATTGATGGTTTTTAATCTGTATGATAAAATAATTTTAAGTTGCCCCGACTATATATATATATATAAATCACTAAATGAGGACTCCGACATCACGCCGCTTTTCGTCAGGGTTCGCTAAGGTTGCAAAACGTAGACGTGTGCAAACACTTTTCACAGTTGCAAACAGTTTTTGTTAAACACACATCACAACTTGGCTAACAGGCCCCAGAACAGACGAATCTGATAAACCCGTGTATTTAGGACTGATGCGAGGCACATTTCTTTTCAACAACTATCTGATCGAAGTCTTGATAAAATTGTGGTTTTGTGTGAAAAGCAAGTTTGCACATCACCAAAGCACTTCAACCATCGGAATGGAGGTCAGTTTGTGCAGTTGGTGGTAAACCAAAGTCAATGAAATTATTTTGGGGACCAAAATCAGCAAGTCAACATTGGACAAACTCATAAATTGATTTGTGAAGTGAATTGCTATGGACTAGATTAACTGTTATATATGAATTTGTTCTTTTATGGTGGTTACAACCAAAATATGGGTGTGGGGGTGGGGGGCAAAAAAATGAAAATGAACCTCGAAATAATCAGTGCCCATCAACCCAAATGCAACTGTCAGCCAAACTCTTGCCTTGAGTCACGGGACCACAGGGTAAAGGTTCTCGTTTGTGATTTTGAGCTGCTGAACATGCAGCGCGTATTAGCAACAAGCCAATGCACTGTATCGTAAAACGAAAAGTATTCAAGCCTGCAATACTGATAATCCCAACCGTTGCTTGTGTCTTCATCCACCATTTCTTTTTTTTTTGTGTAGATATTTTGGATTTTGAAACAAAAATGCGTTGAACATGTCAAAAGTGGACTCTCAAAATGTAGACTCAGATAAAATGTACACAACAAATATTTATTACAGAAAAAGTGGGGCAAAGCTGACAAAGTAGAAACAAAGACGCTGGCACATGCCAGGATAAAACGGAAGAAACAACAAACGCTTGCAAAAGAAAAAAAGAAAACCAATTCACGATGAATACAAAGCGAGAATAACATCCTAAAACCAAAATCATTACAACTAGAAAATGGAGGGCAAAAAAACGAGGAATGGACACACAGAGCAACATCAGGAACGTCTAGAAAATTGCACATGAACAATGGCTTGAATTATCCGACTGTCGGCAGGAGCGTCTTTAAATAGTGGCTTGATTGCGATGCATGACGGGTGCGCAGCTGAAGGAAAAAAACGTCCAGCACTCAGCTGGACTTTCAAAACACAATACAGACAACTCAACATCGTAAATTGTGATAGGTACTGTCTTGAAGTCATACATGATTTCATAAGCTTGTGATTCTCTCAAATAATATGTACACGTTACACTGAGGCACGCACACATGACAACATTTGCCCCCCCCCCAATGCATAACATATGTCCCCTTAAGGATTGAGGTCTGGGGAAGGATTTGCTCTGAATATGTACTCTTTATCAAATCATGTAAATAGTGGTGAAAACACCTTGAACAGTCAAACACTCATTAGCTCGTCGCATGCTTAAAGCTATGAGTGGATTTGCAAACTAAGCTTGCTGATGACTTATTCAAATGTGTCGGAGCTTATCTGTGGATTCATTTCAGCATTTGTGGAATAAGGCAGGCTGATATGCTTGCCATTTCCCTATCTTGTCAAAATATGAAATTTCATGAATATTCAAAAACGATGCTGGCTGTGTTCTGTAAGGTAAAATGTTAAGAATAAAGTGGGTATTAAGTGGTGTGTTGAGCATGACAAATTGTATCTGACATGCAGCCATGATTTGTGTTTTGTAATGACTATGGCAGATTGTAGTTATGGTAGTTGTTCACACTGCTAGACCTATATGAACATAATCAACAAGGAATACGACATACATTGGACCCGAGAAAGTGGAAATGCCCTCTCATATTTGGTATTGTAGCCGGCTTTTGGAGCTGAAGTCAAACGAATCCGTTTGAAGAAAGTAGACTATTATTCTCTCTGTTGTTAACTCACCGAGTTATAGTGATTAAAAAGTGAGATGATTTGTCAAAAAGTGAGATTTTTGAGGTGTCATTCTGTGATTCAATTTATTCTTCGGTGCTTTCATCTTTTGATAACTGAAGGTGTTATAGGGCGGCCTAGTGTTTAGCACGTTGACCTCACAGTGCAGAGGTACCGGGTTCAATTCCAGCTCCGGCCTGCCTGTGTGGAGTTTTCATGTTCTCCCCTCATATTAACCCTGACATGCCACAAAAATTAGCTAGCGCATGCTACAACAATCAGCAATGTTGGGCAAGTTACTTCCAAAATGTAATAGAAGTTTCAAATGAACCACCCTGTGAAACAAAACTCACTGTCACAAATGCCGAAATTCTTACTGGAAGTGTCTTACAGGAAGTTGATCCGTCAGGAATAAGGTGCATACATACCTGTATGTCTGTGGCTCAAAGCTAATCAGCGTGATCACCATTTAGCAGTTAGAAATTTTGGACGCCTTGCAGTCTGCAGTGTTCTGGACCTGACATAAGTCCAGTTGCATACCGGTTAAGGATGCAATGAAAATGAAAAGCACAATATCTGTCAATATATTGCTTTGTTTTGCAGGATGTTTATACAGCCCACTAACTCATTCAAACT